GTAAACAGGGCGACAAGGGAGGTTGTGCCTGAGCTGAGTCTTGAAGAAAAAGAGTGTTTACCAACCAGATAAAAGAAGAGAGAATATTCCAGACGAAGGAATGCCTAGCACGTGCAGAAGTCTGGAGATGCCACCGAGGCAATCTCGGATAAGGCCGTCAATGGGCAATGAATGGCTGACTTGGGGACAAGAGGGACAGGAACTCCTAGAACTCCAGTCTTGAGACCTCAAACGGGTCTAAATTATGGATTTTGTGCTTGCCTATCCTACAGGAAGGCGAGAGGCCGAGGGTGGTGCCATCATTCCCTCCCAGAATGCCCAGTACCCAGTCACGGCTCTCGGCCCATCCTCTGTGACCCAGAGCTCTCAAGTTTGGAGCAGGGAGGCAGTAGCGTCTCCTGGCTTCTCGCAGTTCCCACTCTCCCTTCCTGGTGCCCAGGCCCAAGTGTGTGGCCTGGCTCCTACCCCACAGATCCAGAAAACACATACACAATCATAAAACAGAAGAAACAGGCGGGTTCTGAAATGTATCACCAACCTCATTACCATCAATGAACCCAGAGATTTTTTGAAGACCAAAAATAAGAGACCCAGAGTTATAAGCCCTGATTCTCAGGGATATGAGCTTAAATATATATGCTGGAGAAGTAGGAATTCTGGGGGACAAAATAAAATGCATCAGTGTTCTCCATGCATTCAAAATCTTAGAATATGAAATCACTTCATTAACTAATGTGGGTGGAAGGATTTATACGCCATTAGATAATCTCCCGATGTAAAACATTCTGAGTGTCGAATACGTGCATCCATCTGTGACAAGCTGGGGACAATAATGAATATTTTCAACCAGGATCAATTGTTCCAATTATTATTATTATTATTATTTTTGAGACAGAGTCTCACTTTGTTGCCCAGGCTAGAGTGAGTGCCGTGGCGTCAGCCTAGCTCACAGCAACCTCAAACTCCTGGGCTCAAGTAATCCTGCTGCCTCAGCCTCCCGAGTAGCTGGGACTACAGGCATGCGCCACCATGCCCGGCTAATTTTTTCTATATATATTAGTTGGCCAATTAATTTCTTTCTATTTATAGTAGAGACGGGGTCTCGTTCTTGCTCAGGCTGGTTTCGAACTCCTGAACTCAAACGATCCGCCTGCCTCGGCCTCCCAGAGAGCTAGGATTACAGGCGTGAGCCACCGTGCCCGGCCCCAATTATTTTTTTAAAAAGCTATTTTATGATATTCCAGAACATTTGAAAAATAGATGGCTTATAAAAATAGATGTAAGGAAAAAATCATTGCTGACCCCAACACCCTAAAATAATGACCACCCTATGGTTTTCAGTGGCGATCACAGTGTATCTGCCTTTTATAAACACGATTTTTAAGTAAACATTCTCGTGAAAAATAACACACATCCTGGAAAGTGCACAACTCACGAGGGTACGTACAGCTGAAGGAATTTTCCCAAATTCAACGCCCCCGTAGAGAGTCACTTTCGACTGTGAACAAGAATTTGTGGGGGAGAAGAGTTTGTTAGCAATAAAATGACATCTAAATTATCAGGGGCTTTTCCCACTGTGATTAGAAACAAGACCAGTGGTGCTGACTGGCCCTGGCCAAGCTGGCCCTTTGGCCGTCGGTGAAGCCATCACTGAGGTGCACCAAGGACAGGGCTGCAGAAGAGCCTTTGGGGACATGGCACTAGGTGCCCCTGGTTGGCATCTTATAACCACAACTTTGCTATTTTGAGCGAAGCGACCAGGCCCAGGGTAAAAAAGATAGATGAGTCATAGGCCTTCGATGTCATCTGTATTAGTATATTCTCAGTTTTCTTAATATTTGCTGGGTTGGTGAGGGGATAGGGAGGAATTTTAATAAAGATTCTAAGTGTGATCAGCTCTTAGAAACCTGGAGTTGCATTTTGTTCGTTGCTTTGGTCTATCTAGCATGATGAAGAATATATAGCTTCTGTAGGCACCATCTGGTCCCTCCTCTCATGCTCAGCTTCCACCCCCCACACACCTCCCAGTGAAATAGACATTACAGTAGCACCCAACTCCAAGGACATCTCAAACTTCCCCATCAAAACTCACTTTAGGACAAAAGGGCCGAATTGCCCCCCCCTGGGGAGAGGATGGTGGTCAGGAGGTGAAGGAGGGTACCTGTGGAAGGCACGGAGGCATACCAAACGCTACATACTCCTGGGACACTTCATGATTTATCTTTAAAAATCCACACGAATCTTGTATTAAGCTCTGTAGTGATATAAAATGTTAAATGTAAAGTACCATTTCAACTCCTTAACCATCTGTTACAGTAATGCCTCCAGCTTTGCTCTTTTTTGCTCAAGATTGCTTTGGCTATGTGGGGTCTTTGAGCTTCCATACAAATTTTAAGATCGTTTTTCCTATTGCAGGTGCAGTCAAGGTAAGATGCGGTCATTAGGTTGGACTTAATCCACTATGACTGATGTCCTTATTAAAAGGGGAAGTTTGGACACACACACAGAGAAAGAATGCCATGTGAAGATGAAGACAGCGATCAGGGTAGCACAATGACAAGCCGGGGAACACCAAAGATTGCCAGCACAGCCCTCAGAAGAACCAGCCCTGCCAACACTTTAATCTTGGACTTGTAGTCTTAGAAGCATAAGACATAAATTTCTATTGTTTAAGCCACTCAGACTGTGGCACTTTGTTACAGCCGTCCTGGCAGACTAATACACCATCAAATAAAATGTACCCTTAAGGAAGATGCACCACAATGACCCCATGTCCCCCAACCTCTGCCCCAGCTATGGCCCCAGTCTGGGAGAACACAGTGGAGGCGCATGGCTCCTCAAGAGTTGAGTGAAACCACTGTATAAATTATTAAATGATATGAAAATGCCAGTTGCTGCAATGAAATGGAAGAGTAAGGCAAGGAGGCTTCTGGGAAATGGTAATGTCAACTGAGTCAAGAAGACTGATTGACATAGAAATCCGCCAGTGTGCTCAGAGGAATTATTCTAGGTCTCAATCAGCCTACAGATGTAGGAAGTATAGATAAATTGCCTCTTTAATTGTTACAAGTAAATTGGTGCAAAAAAATTGGGATGTTTTCAGGTATAATTCATATAATTATATGAATGTAGAAGAACTTCAACTTAGAAGTTAGAAGAACTTCTAGCATTCCACATAAGGTCGTGGTTTATTTTTTAAGCCCACCATACTGCTTGGACCCCGTGTCTCCAGTGAAAAGACAAAGGACAGAGACATCTGGGAAATGACAGCACTTCACATGTATTTTAGCGTTGCTTAAATGTGAACCTATTTCCAAGTGTGAAGAGATTTGGGCCCATATGTTGTTCAATGGAAAAAAGCCAGGAAAAAATCCGGGTTTATATTATAGTACCAGCACGAGAAGCCTGAAGCCATTTGAGTAAATCTGTCTAGAATGCCAAGAACACAGTTTATGTTCACCGTTACTTCAGGAAGCACGTGTAAGTACAGAATCTAGCCTAGCATTTTTTTTTTTTAAGAGACAGAGTCTCCACGCCTGCAATCCTAGCACTATGGGAGGTCGACGCGTGTGGATCGCTCAAGATCAGGAGTTCGAAACCAGCCCGAGCAAGACCCCGTCTCTACTAATAATAGAAAGAAATTAATTGGCCAACTAAAAATATGTAGAAAAAAATTAGCCAGGCATGGTGGCGCACACCTGTAGTCCCTGCTACTCGGGAGGCTGAGACAGAAGGATTGTTTGAGCCCAGGAGTTTGAGGTTGCTGTGAGCACGGCACTCTAACAGGGGCAACAGAGTGAGACTCTGTCTCAAAAAAAAGAGAGAGACAGAGTCTCGCCATGTTGCACAGGCTGGAGTGCAGTAGCTATTCACAGGCGTCTTGAACTCAGCACACTACAGTCTTGAACTCTCGTGCTCCAGTGATCCTCCTGCCTCAGCCTCCTTAGTAGCTGGGACTACAGTTGTGTGCCACTGTGCTTGGCTATGCTAGAATTTTAATGGGTGCTACAATGACACCAAGGAAGTCAATGATTATTTCTACCCTTAGGGAACTTGGGCACTATTTGTAGAAATAAATATAAATACATGCCAGAACAAGACAAGTGCCAGCATGGTGTGACACCAAAGTATACACTTCATTCCTGCAATAAGAAAAAGCAACCAACTAGTTAATGGATTATAATTTTCCTCATGCTACTCTTTTAAATGTAAATCTTGGTATATCAACTTTAAAGTATGTGGGATGACAATGGAATACTTGGAAATTCTAATACAGTCAACCACCAGTGATCCATGATAAGCAGATGGCAGCTGTTCGGCAAAGCAATTAGTGCTTATATTTGAATGGGAAATGAAAGATTATGAGTTTAAAGGTATTTCTCTTCCTCATTTTGTGTCCTCAGTCTACCTTGTCCATATAAATGTTGGCAGGTTCAGAGCAGTGGTTTCCACTTTCAAGCATATTTCCTTTTTAATTTTTTTATTGATATATCACAGCTGTACACTTTTATGGACATATAAGAATCATACATTTTTATTGATACATAACAGTCATACATTAGATTTCCTTTTTAATGTCAAAAAAGTTTCAGGATCCTCTTAAAATAGCTGTCTTTTTGAAGACACTCTCATTGAGAAGAGAGGTAATAACAAGATAACTACTGTGAATTCAGTGGCTCTTCTAAATAAAATTGCTTTTTTTTTTTTTTTTTTTTTTGAGACAGTGTCTCACTTTGTTGCCCAGGCTAGAGTGAGTGCCGTGGCGTCAGCCTGGCTCACAGCAACCTCAATCTCCTGGGCTCAGCGATCCTCCTGCCTCAGCCTCCCGAGTAGCTGGGACTACAGGCATGCGCCACCATGCTCGGCTAATTTTTTTTTTGTATATATATTTTTAGTTGGTCACTTAATTTCTTTCTATTTTTGGTAGAGATGGGGTCTCGCTCAGGCTGGTTTCGAACTCCTGACCTTGAGCAATCCGCCCGCCTTGGCCTCCCAAAGTGCTAGGATTACAGGCGTGAGCCACCGCGCCTGGCCAAAATTGCTTTTTATCAATCGGAACAACTTCCGATGTATTGCATGCAAGAGAGTCACCCGCATAACTACCTAACATACTATGCATTCATTTTAGGCAAGACCCTGGCCAAGGGAACTGGAGTGGTCAGAGCAGGCTTCTAATACACCTTTCACGATGGCAGCTGCGCATTTAATGCAGACAGCCCTGGATGAGACCTGCAGAGAACCTCAAGTCTGGGCTCATCCGCCTTCCAGCAGCTTGTCTAATCTCATGGGGCCTCATTTTCCTCTTTTGAAAAACATCTCGCAGGGCAATAATCTAGAGGAGGCAAGGCTTTCCACATGCAACACTATAGAAAGGAGAAGAACCATTGCTATTTGGAATGCTACAGAGAGCCTTTAAGCTCTGCCTCGATTCTTACCAATACGAGAGTTCGTGGGAGTAAAAGAGCATACGAATCTCAGAAAGGAAACCAGCATTAGCTGCAAACATGCAGGACCCTGCACTAGGAAACTCCATGTCCTTTAACTCATTCTAGAGCTCACCACCACCCCGTGAGCTAGGCAGCATTAGCCCTGTTTTAAATCTGAGCCCGTGAGGCCGGGATTAGGCATCTGCGTTCTTGTGACTTCCCACAAGTGATTCCAATGTGCAGCAAGATTGACAACCACTGAAAAAATTCTGGAAAAAAAAGAAAAGCCTGCTGGGATTTCCATAGGGATTATGTTGCATCTACAGATCACGTTGGGCAGAACTGCTGTCTTAATAACATCGAGGCTTCCAATCTATGAATGTGAAATGTTTCTGCATTTATTTAAGAAGGACTATAATTCCTGAGAAACTATTACAGTCTGGGCCTTGGCCTAACTCATGTATAATCTGCATTTTGCTGGTGTGGCATCTGAGCCCAGAGACATTACGACACCTGTGAAGATGACATGTAGCTAGCACACTGGGATGCCAGGTACCCGGCCAACGCTGTTGCCACTTCATTCTGCTGCCTTGTCTTACTAGCAAGGTGGCCGACAGCACCTCAGCCAGCTCTAGTTTAGGGCCTTTCATTGGCATAATCCGTTGCCTTCAAAAAGAGATGAGAGATTAATTAAAAACAAAAGGGAGATTGGGTGCTCTATAGTGACATAGAAATATGTCCCAGATCAGAGATAAGTGAATAAGGAAGTCACAGAACTGTGTATATTTTATGGCCTACCTCTGTACGAGTGAAGGCATGGTATGTTTGCACTTAGGGAAGGCCTGGAAGGAGACCCAGGGAATTCTTAACGGGGGTTCTCTCTGGGGAAGGTAGCTGTGGTGGTAGAAGGATTAGTGAGGACTTTGACTTTTCATCTTCCACTGTCCTCTACTGTCATTAGGAAATTTTAGCATGAGCATGCCTTTCCTTTACCATGAAAAGAATCTCTAGTCGAGGGAGTGATGAGGAAAGATCTTCCCCACGTTGCCAATTGCAGAACTTGAAAATGGGAAGTTGCCAGGTCCCCTCCACAACTGTAGGGACTATGGAGTAACCCATGCTCCTCGGGAGGCACCTTGCAGTGGTGAGGGCACGGGAGGAAGTTGCACAGAGGCCTACATGTGCACCTGAGGGAACAAACCTGTACCTGTCACCCCCCAGGGTCCTCTGCTAGGCTGAATGTAGCTGCTGCTCCGAGATCAGGCTGCCAGTTGTCCTTCTGGGGTGCATGGGCGGGTCACTTACCCCAACCCCAGAGCCACTTCACCCACGGCTGCTGTGGGCCTTGCAGCAGTTCCTGTTTGGGGACAAAGGTACCATGTGAAAATGACAAAGAGGAAGCTGTGGCTATGTCAGTGGGAGGGGTACAGAGAGGGCCCTCTGCCCTTTGCCCTCTGGGAATGGGCTGCCCCTGAACAGCCATGCATGTGGCTCAGCAGGACAGGGAACATTTCCAGTGCTGCCGTAGGGGTCCCTGGAGACCATGGAGTAGGTGGGATATTTGTGATGATTCTCCTTCTCCTTCTGTCATTGCCCCCCACCCCACAGCCTTCTCCACCCCCAGGGCACCCCACCCTTTCCTCCATTCCGCCCTTCGCTCCTTCTCACACTGCACTGATCTTTGCTTTCCTCATGCCTAGACTCACACAGGGGACATAGTTGCACCCCATAAATACCAGATGTTTGGATGGATGGAAGGGTAGAGCTAATGCAGTGGAAGCTGCCATATTAAATATTTCCACCCAAAATATATGTTCCTCCAGCCCCAACTCTCTCCCACTGCCTTGATGTGGCCACCTGTGCCCAGGGCGTGGGGGACACTGGTGTCTGTCCTCAGCAGCCTCCTGAGTGTCTGAACAGAGAACAGCCTATGAGAACCAGAAGTCAAGCCACAGGCCATGAGAAAATGTTTGCAAAACAAATACCTGATAAAAGACTGGTTTCTAAAATACACAAATAATTCTTATACTGGACAATAAGAAACAGCCCAATTAAAAAGTGGGGAAAAGATCTGGACAGACACCTCACCAAAGAAGATATGCAGACGGCAAGTATGCATGGGAAAGAGAGTCAATGTCATGTGCCGTTAGGGAATTATGAACTGAAACAGCAATGAGATATCACTGCATACTTGTCGGGCTGGCTACAATTTAAACACCGAGAACACCACACACGCTGAGAGCCTGAGACCGTGCTGGGAAGGGGTGGGAGCAACAGAAATTCTCATCCACTGCTGGTGGGAACACCAGCGTGGTGCAGAAGCTTTGGAGGCAGCGTGGTAGTTTCTTACAAAGCAAATGTAGTCTTCCCATCCAGATCCATCAGTCAAGCTCTTTGGTATCTATTCGAATGAGTTAAAAACTGACATCCACACAGAAACCTGCACACAGACGTTTATAGCAGCCTCATCCATCATTGCCCAAGCCGGGAAGCAACCACGATGACCTTCAGCAGGTGGATGGATAAACACGCCGTGGTAGGTCCAGACAGTGGGATATTACCCAGGGCTAAGAGGAAGGAGCTATCACGCCATGCAAAGACAAGAAGAACTTCACATGCATATTACTATGAAAGAAGCCAATCCAAAAAGGCTGCATATTATATAATTTCACTACACGACACTCCAGAAAAGCCAAAACTATGAAGACAATAAAAATTGGAGGGATGAGGAGGAGGAAGGGAGGCCTAGGTGGAGCACAGAGAATTTTTAGAGCAGTGAAGATACTCTATATGATACTACAGTGGTGGCTACATGGCCTCATACATTTGTCAAACCCATAGAATGTGCGACAGCAAGAGTGGACTCATGTAAACTATGGACTTTAGTTAAGAATCATGTCTAGATATGGACTCATCGATTTTAACAAATGTACCACACCGATGCAATATAATAATGGAGAAATAGGAGCAGGGGTAAAGGAGGGTCTGTATTGCCTCTTCAGTATCTTCTGTTGGTGTAAAACAGTTCCCAAAAATAAAGTTATTAGAGAAACAGAGAGCACACACAAGCACGCAGCTCTTGCCAACAAATTATTTGCCATGTGGCAGTGTCAGGCTAGTTATAATAATTTTTGCTGCTGCAATCATCAGCACCAAATATTTGCAAGTCAAGGGTCTCCTCTGTGGCAGGGGCTGCACAGAGAAAGGCCTGGTGGGACCTTCATCTCCAACCCACAGTGTCCGCCCTGGCCAGCTCGGGGTCTGCTCTTGGTCCTGTCGTTGCCCCCGACAAGGAGGCCCCAGGGATGCTGTGAGACTTGAGTCCCTTTGGCAAGGCAGGTGGCTATGGGCAGTAGTTTCTGCTTCCAAGTGGATACATCTCCTTCACCTTCCCCGGGCTCTCAGGGATGCTCTTGGGAGCACGCTCTCGGAACTGAAAACTCACCTGTGCTCCGTTCTGCTCTGAGACCCTGGCCTGCGCTCAGATGTGCCAGCCCCCGAGACAGAGCTCAGTATGGGGACAATGAAGGCTGCCTGCCTCTAGGTGGTGGGACGGGGCCTCGGAGACAAGGGGCTGGGAACAGCTGTATTCCCCAGACACAGAGGGAGCAGCTTTCACAGTCCTGACAAGGGCTGGGTTTGCGATCCGGGGGTAGTGGCAGTGAGCACCACTGGCCGCTTTTCACAGGGTGTCACTAAAAGGAAAACAGACGGGCCACAGGTCTTGGTGGGCCCATCCAGCACAGCGGGAGTCCGTGGTGTCACTGACTCTGTGGCAGTTCCCTGAATCACATCTACATTATCACAGAGCAGAGCTGAATACACAAAGTGACACTGAGGACCAAACAGAAAGCCCAAGTGATCCTCAGGGTTTAAGAACTTTGTTCTGGTAACTGAGCACAGGGAACGGCGTGGCGCCTGCTTGTTCACTCAAGGGTTTCTTTTGCTAGGCCCTAAGTATCCACAGGTGGGTGTGCTCATTTGCAAAGGAGCCTTTCTGCCCCCGAGGTAAGTCAACTTACGTTATTTTAAGATAATTATATTTATGTAAATATTTTATACCTTACCTCTTTCCAAAAAGAATTAGAGATAGCAACTCATATCTTAAGGGAAATGAGTGTTCTGTATGGGAAGAAGCTCTGTATTCCGGAATTCTTCATTGAAAGGCTTTGAAACATTTTCCCGGGAGGTTCTCTTGGCCCTGGCCTGAAAGGGAAAGTGGGAAATGAAAGGAAACAGCCTTTAGCACAGCTACTGCCTCAGAGAGCACCTGGAGTGCCTCGAGAGTCGGGGAGGGCAGGGCAGGGGAGGGCAGGGCAGCGTGGGTGTCTTTCCCCAGTGGGCCCGTGGCTCTGCGGGGAGAGCAGACCGTGTACTGCCCCCGCCACAGGCCAGAAGCTAGAAGCCTGGCTGGAGCCCATTTTTTTAAAAAGGCTTTTACCCAAGTTTCATGATCATCCCAGCTACAAGTTTAGTCCTTTAATATTCTATATTTCCTAAGCTCTTCCTGCCATTGTCATACCCCAGTGACATAACGGCAGAATAATTCCTCTGTTTTGAAAACCAAGGAGTTGTTGGTTATGCATTTCATTTTTATAGAACTTGTGTTCACACAAGCAAAGGAGAAATTGACCTCCTCCCCAGGGTGGGGGTGGGGAGGGCAATGTATCATCAGCTCACAGTTAACAAGTCCTTTAAAAATGTAAAAGACCACCTTCTTAGGGAGTGGGAATTTCAGCAAAGGTTTAGTGAGTAGACTCCTTTGCCATATTGTTTTATTTCTTTACTATTTAAAGATCCACGTAGTGCTTACATAGGACTGATACATTTTTACAGTTGTTAAATTCCCAGTAAAATGTACTGTTAGCTTTACAGGAATACGAGAAGGCACCCACAAGCCCCGCCTATGCTGAGTAGGGTGAACTCAGTGCCTGTCATTTTTTTCTCTACAGGTTTATAAGGTGCCACTTAGTGGGCAACCTCAGCCTCGAGCAGGTGCACAAGGATTATACTGATCACGCGGCTCTGCCAGCACCAAGAAAAATCCATCGCTAGGACAATTTCGCTTCTCCATGATTGAATTTCAGGGAGGCAGTTTCTCCAGCAACTGTGCATTGTCATTTTTGACAGGCTTCCTGGAATCGTACAGGGAGTGCGGGTTTGAGCCCTGGCTTTCCATCCTGACTGGTTGTGTCCCTTTCTATGTGTCAGCCTCCTCCTCTGTAAATGGGAAACCACAGCCCTGAGAGAAGTTCTCACGGGAAAGCAGCTAGCGGAGTGTGGGGCCTCAACTATGTGCCCTCAATAAATGTCCACTTGTCAGCCTCACACTTGAGGTTATCACAGAGGAGCGGACTGCCTGCCTGCATCGAGAGTTTTGTCTGCAATACAGCCTGGGAGCTGTGCTCAGTAACCGTGATCTGGTTCTAGAGGGCAGTAGTGACACACCCATTCAAAATTGCAGGCAGTCCAAAATTACCAGACTCAAGGTCCAGCCCTTTCAGAAGAATATAGTGGGCAGCATAGAAATAGAAGACGAGTTGAGATCACTCTGCTAACTGCTGGTCACAAAATTACCAGATGACATCTGGAAACAAGGGTCAAACCCAGGCGAACAGGAGGAGCTTGGAGTAGGAGAACTCAGTCCTCACTTGGTGATGGGAGGTGGGGAGTCCCCAGCCTGGTTGTGGTGCAATGACACATTGTGCAAAGCACACTGTGTGGAACATTATGCAAAATGCTTCCTCCAAACAAAAGTCCACAAATGACAGAAAGTGGAACTAAACCTAGTTTCACTCAGGGTAAAAGTCCAGTCCGCAACACCCCCTTCCCCCCACCTTTGGTTCACTTCTGGATGCTGCCAAATTATCGCTGTCCACAGGCAACCCCACCACTGGGTCTGAGAACAGACTCACAAGCAGGTTTCGGTGCCCGGGGCCATCTTTGCCATCTTTGAAAGGGACAGTTCCTTTTCTGCATTCAACTCCAATAGTTTTTGTAAGCAGACTTCTCTATGGTTAGAAAGCCATCCATTACCAGGTCTCAGGCCCGTCCTCCAATGTGTGACACTTTTCCTTTAGCCTCAGCATGATTTCTTCTTATAGACCTCAAGTGTGAGAGGATCCCTTTCCAGCAACCCCCAATTCCTCCATGTTTTGCTCTTGCCCCACACCTTCCTCTGCCCAGAACGCCTTGTCCCTACCTCCTCACTCTCTCCATGCCCTCGCCTCTGCCAGCCCCAGAGCGTGAGCGTGTGTGTGCACGTGTGAGCATGAATGTGTGTGTAAGGGTGTGTGTGTGTGTGTGTGTGTGTGTGTGTGAATGAAGCTGCCCCTGAGGCAGAATCTGGTAGATGGGACAAAAATTCATTCAGTCAGTCAACAAACATCGGTCAGGCACTGATAATATGGGAAGACTAGGGATACAACAGCAGGGGTGCGACTGCCCAGTGAGGTGCTGCTAAGAAGGTTCTAGGCACCAGAAAGGGCACCTCCATAAAACCAGAGGGAGGTGAGTGTGCCTCTGGGTGGTCCCATTTCCCCCCTCGCACCCCAGCCCTGTGGAGGGCTCTCCTTTCCCCCTTACCTTTTATTAAAAGGGGTGCAGCAGAGAAATCTTTTCTGACATCCTTTGGTGCTTAAAAAAGAACAATCTTGATATCAGAAGGCCATAGTCTCCCTACCCCTGGCAGAGGCTGGAAGCCCAAGATCATAGTGATGAAATGGTAAAGATGGTAAAATTATATATGCATATTTTACCTCAATAAAAAAATAATTAAATTATTTTTTTAAAAAAGATCACAGTGTTGGCAGGTCTGCTTTCTTCCACTGAGGCCTCCCTCCTGGGCTTGCAGATGGCCATCATCTCCCTGTGTGCGTCTGCGTCCTAATCTCCTCTTCTTGTAAGAACACTGGATTAGGGATCGCCTTCGTGACCTCATTTTAATTTAATTACCTCTTTAAGACGCTATCTCCAAATAAGGTGACATTCTGAGGGACCAGGGAATAGAACTTCGGCAAATGAATTTGGGAAGGGGACACAATTCAGTCCATAACAGTATGCGCGTGCGCGCGTGTGTGCGCGTGCGTGTGCGTGCGTGCATGTGCGTGCGCATGCGTGGTGGGCCGGGGAGCAGAAACCGCGCTTTCCAGAAAGCCCAGCAGTTTTGGCGGCTGCCTGGCATGGTTGCCTTCCCCGGAAGTGTCTGGCAGGTAAGAGACCTGACTTTCCTCGGGCCTCGTCCTGGCTTTGTGAGTTTGTGAGGGAGCTGAGAGCGCCATCACGTCATAGGCTAGCGTGGTTCTTTGGACCTCAGGATTTGACATGAATTCCTCCCAAGTCCCATGCAGCGTTCAGCTTCCACTGGAGCGACTCCTGCCTCCAAGCACCTCATGTGACAGCGCTGCCTTCCCAGGCCCACCCTGACTGACATTCCCTGCAGCAGAAGAGGAGCGATTGGAAAAATCTGGCTTCCCTCCAAGGACAAGGCCAGTTTTGCTCACACCTCCCCTCCCCGGCGTGACTCCGTTCATTTAAGCTTTCCTCGTGCAGTATGCTCCCCTGTGTGTCCCTGAGGGCCACGTTCCCTGTTTTTATAAACTAGAAAAGACATTTTTGAGACGCTAGTTAAGTTTGTTCTTTCATAGTGGAAGAACTGTTTGTGGGCTTGAAGGGAGATGTGGCAATAGGTTATTTCGGGCCTTTCAGAAGGCCTGCTTTCCATTTGGGATGGGAGTATTACCTAACAGGCTATCCTTCATAGGAACTGAACAAAGACTTGCTGACACAATCTCAACCGTTGGCTGTTACCGGAATAGCGGACAAGTATTTTGCTTCTGGGTGCAGCAAGCACAAAAGAAGGGGCCAAGGTACACATGGACTTCACTGTGAGCCGGGAAGGCCCGAGGGGCAAGCCCTCAGTAAAGCGCAGGGGTCTCCAGGGAGCTCAGGGGCTATAGGGTTCACACTAGAGCAGATGCCACAGGATGGTAAATGCAGGACCCAGCCCAGAACATAAGCAGTACTTTGCACTTGCTAAATGTTTGTCGATAAAATGACTGAAAGAATGAAAAGTACCATCTAAAGGAAGGCAAACTCATGTGCGAGGCAGGAAAGGGAGGGCCAGAAGTGATGGAGAGATGTTATTACTAGCTTTCTTCTGGAAGGCTCACTGCAGCAGCAACATCGCCTTTGAGGAAAGCTTTCAGTCAGGAGACATGTCAGCTTGTCTAAAATCATATATTAAGCACCCCTTGTATGTAAAACACTGGGAGGCCAATAAGATTATTCTAGAGAATTTCCATTTCCTGCTTATACATTATGTGGAACAAAACATAATTACAACTATAGGCATAAGGAAAAAGACTGGAAGGGAAATTGAAAATAATAGTAATTGTCCTGGGGTCGTGGGATTATGGCTAAATTTATTTTCTCTTCCGGACTTTCTATAATGTTGTTTTTTAGCTTTTAAGTTTGATATTCAAAGAGTCATAATCCTCTGCTGTTTTAACCAGTGTAGTCAACTCAGGACAGGGATGGATGTGCTTTCTGGAAGCATAACCCCAGCTTCAGAGGATAGGGGTGTCAGTATCAATGGGGAAAAGAGTCCAGCAATAGCAAACCTGACCCCTTTGGGGGCAGAGTTGGCCTCTCTGGGGGGCTACATCTGCACATGGTATCCTCCGCTTAATTTGCTCCAATAACCTGAAAACGTGGCTTCTTTTCCCCCCTCCTATTTATCTTCTTTGACTCATTCATTCATTCATCAAACATTCAATTCCAGTCCATGAACAATGAGCCACATCATGCTCTGGGAATACAAAGAATATGCATTAGGCGCTGGGCTCCCCATTTGCATGCGAAACAGATATTTAAACACATGAAGACCAAACAGGAATAATGGAACAGCCAATAGGCTCTTGGGGCTAGGAGCCTGAGCATCAAGGAAGGGAGGCTTCCTGAAGGAGGCGACATGTTTGAAGGGAGTTTCAAAGGAAAGGTGCGAGGATAATAGGAAAAGACTTTCTGCAAAGAAAGAACCACGCAAAGGTATGGAGCCAGAAAGGAGTGGAGGGTCAAGCATATTGTTCTTAGAAGGAGCTGTGAGCACATTAACCTGGAGCCAAGGGTGCAAGAGGGGAAGAGGACATGAATAGATGTGGCCAGACGTTGAAGGGCCTGCAAAGGAATCTAGACTTATCCTACAGACATCGGGTTGCCTGAGTCTTAAAGCAGAGGGAAGACACAGTAACACTAGCTTTTTAGCAAGAGAACTCTAGTGGCCCTGAGAAGAGTGGGGACGTGGGACCAAGGGCCAGAAGGGCAGTGAGGAGGCCGGTGGGGCGGTGGGTGATAAAAGCCTGACCTGAGGACCCAGCAGCAGGTGTCGACATAATGCTGCATTGCTGTCCTTGCAGTCGGGAGGAGGGTGAGAGTAGGGAAACCAATGGGTCCAATCTCTTCCTTCTGCCATCGCCAAGTTCTGGTGCCCATCCACTCTCTGGCCCTGGTCTTAGTGATCTCATGTGTCCAGCATCTCACAGCCACACTAACCTTCCCCAGCCATTGGGTTACCCGTCCCCATTCTTCCCCCACTGCCTTGTAAAGCATGATCGTATAAAGGTTAAATCCCCTTTCAACAGCTACATTCTAGTCCCCCTTTCAGCCTTCGCTCTCCATGTTTCCTAGTGTGAACGTGTCTCCACCCCAGCATACCCACTTATGTCCTCAGAGACCCCTCTGTCTCTGCAGCTGACACTTTGTCCTCACAGTGTCCCCAGGGGCTGCCGGCCTCTGCCAGTATGGATGGAATATATCCTCCAAGGCTCACCTCCCCTGCAAAACCTTCCCCACACCCCAAGGTTCCTCACAAAGAACTCTCCCTCTTCTGATTCCTATGGCATTTTTTCTGATAACCTACCACATTTGTTTTGCACTGTTATTTATGTGTTTTGATAATGTGTCATGGCTCCAAGTACAGCATAAGCTTTTTGTGGGAGACAAGATGTGACTTACACCTTTTTGAGTCCCTCACAGAAGCCAGCACAATGCCACCTACATAGTGGGAGTCAGTAAATGTTGATTGATTGGTTGTCAATCTGTTTACTGGGAAGCTTATCAACAGTATCTGTCACTCTGCTGTCATCAATGTTACTGGTGTGCTGTACAAAGGACAGGCCATGGACTTGGAGTCAGAAACCTTGGCCATTTATCATAATCTCATGAGCTCCAGCCAGTCACTTAACCTGCCTGGCTCTTCATTTCCTCATCAGCAAAATGGCAACCCAATCATTGGTTGTCATCTCCTTTTCACCTTTTGTTGACCACAGAACATTCTTTCAAATGTGGAACTGCTTACGTGCAACACATGAAAACGAAGCTACTAGGAACCCAAGCTTTCTCCCTCCTCCTCCTCCTTCTCCTCCTCCTCTTCCTTTTCCTCCTCCTCCTTTCCTTCAATCCACTGTAGAATTTGGAAAAAATGGAAAACCATCAGATTGAGTGGTTCCTTCAAGGACAAACTTCTAAGACTCAGTGCCTCCACAGTTACAGAATGGCACAAATGAGTAGTTTGATGGTTCTAGGTCTTGCACTGCTATGTCTACACAGGACTATGGCAGGGGCTAGGTCAAGTCCATGCTCACTAATTATAGAGAAGCAGTTACTGCAAAATTTCTCAAGGAAACCAAAGCTAGGGTTTGGTTTCCACTTAGATTGAGCAACTTCCTTCCAGGGCACTCAGCCTTCTCAGCAAAGCATTCTCTTCAATACAAGCAGACCAATAACACACAAGGGTTGTGATTGTGCATTTGACCATAAATATACAAATGCACCTTCAGTAGGAAGCTGGACCCATGGCTGATTCACTCTGGTGGGGTTGTTTACATGAGTTTGATTGTCCACTTTAACAATCTTAAGAATCTAGAATAGGTTGAGGTCACAGTTCATGGGCAGTGTTCATGGGACAGTTAAGGATATTCTGTTAGATTTAAAGTAAATTGTGTTATCGCAAATCCTGGAGGATGTTTCACATTTCACTGGTGGTCACTTAAAAATAATTTATTCAGACTCACCGTAGAGAGTAAATGAAAAAAAAAAATAATAATAATAATTTAAATGCACACTAAAAGGGACCCACAACTTTCATTGCCTGAGTCCTCTTTGTTAAACTTATGTCTCCTCTTTGGTATCTCTGAGTCCCTCTCCTTCCCCAGCCAACCTCACCCAGAAAGCTGAGCAGGAAGCTCAGTGCTTTCATCCTAGCCAGGCTCTGAGGAGAAACTGGGAACATTTCCACTTAACCAAACCGGTTGCTCCAAAAAGGCCCAGATTCCTGGGTCACTTTCCTCTGACCTGTTGCTAGTCATGCTTGCATTGGTTTGGCTGGATGGGCTTGCAAAAGCTGTTTCAAGTTTCCTGGACCTCTCTCCTTTTTGTGAACACCTTGACCTAAATTTCTCACGCACTGCCAGTTGGTCATCACTCCATAAATAATTTCCAATTTCAGTTTTTTCATATCCCTAAAGGAACAGCTGTGGTCAAAGATAGCCTATTGGACCTATCTGCCTTTAAACATAAGAGTTCCTGTTCTCTCCTCGGGAGTGGTTGTCACAGGAACTCGTGGGAAC